GGAAAAAAATTAACGGAGCCAAACACGAGCTGTTTGCGAACAACGAGCCATTTTGACAGCCCTACTGACAATTATTTTATTCATTTACGGCAGCAACTGATCTATCTTAAAAAAAAAGGCTCCAAATATTATTTTAAGATAAATTTTATTAAAATAAAAATTAATATTTTATGTGGTTTTATTAATTAAATTAAAAAAAAATATTATGACATTTAAATACGATAAAAGTAAAAGCTTAAATATGTTTTCAATTTCAAAAAATTAATAATAATAATATGTTTTATATATGATATTAAGTGGGGTCCGGGTCTTCCATTATTTACACAATAATTTAAAAAATTCATGTAATAATTTTTTTTGACAAAAAGATTTTACATTGACTATTACTTAGGGCTGTCAAAATCGCTCGTTGTTCGTGAACAGCTCGTGTTTGGCTCGTTAAGAAGTTCGCTAAGTTAACGAGTCGAATACAAACTACACGAATAAATATTTGTTCGTTCGTGTTCAGCTCGTTTTGACTTGAAATACTACTAATCAATTATATATATATCTTTAATAATTATATACATAATGAGTATTATTTTTAAATGGTCTAACTGACTACAATGTTACAAAGATTTATAATCAATTAAAAGTATTAATTAAGAAACTAAAATAAAAAATATTAATTTAGATTCAAATGATATTAAATCTTGTCCAATCATTAACATCTTATGGTTACGTGATTAAGGTTGTCAAAACGACTCTTTGTTCGTGAACTGCACATATTCGGCACGCTACACGCCAAACAAACGAGTCGAACACAAACACACTTTTTGAGCTCGAAATATAAACGACTCGTGTTCGGCTCGTTTACACGCCTAACTTCGTCCGCCAATCATATGAATGTCAATATGACAGCCGGTGGTTGAGCATCCGAACGTTGAGTTGTTCGGAAAGAATATTTATATTTCAAATATGATATAAATTTTATTCCTCTAAGAAAAAGGTTGGTAGCTGACGTGGACACAAAAGTACGAACGCTTCCCTATAGATTCATCCGTGCGGGCCCATTCATATCCCAAACCGATCTCCACCATATTAAAAAAAACAGAAAAAAAAAATAAATTATAAAAAATTAAAAAAAATAAACATCCTACGTGTATGATTCAGATGCTCACACGTCACACATTATCCGCACCCCGAAAACTATATTCCCGAACAGGACCAGATCCGACGACACGTGTCCCCAACCCAACCAAAACGCGCCACGCATCCTCCCCGCATATTTCCAAACAAAGACTCACCCTCCACCGACACGTGTGTTGTCCACCATCGATCCCGACACGTGTCCAGTCATGACTCGTGTCCCGATCCCGCACGACGTCACCCGCCGGAGATCCTCCCATTCCCCGCCACGTGTCACTCTCTCGTGGGCCCCACAAACGGAAACTCTAACTACTTATATCTCTACCATGCTCCCGCCGTCCCCGACAGCGATCTCTCCCCGGCAAATGGAACCGAGCAGCACAGGCGGCGGCGGGGGGGGGCGGCTGCGCGGGGGGGGGGAGCGGGGGAGGAGGAAGTCAACAGGGGCATAATGGACGAGAGGATTCTAATCCTGGTTTTCGGGAGGCTGAACTGGGACCCACAAGTGGTCTGCGTGGCGGCGAGAGTCAGCCGGCGGCTGCGGGCGGTGGCGAACCGCGTGCTCTGGAGAGAAGTCTGCGTCTCGCGAGCTCCGCGCATGCTGGCGGCGCTGACTTCCGGCACACCACCCGGTCAAGCGAGAGTGACAGCCGCCATTTTCCCCTCCCGCACCCACTCCCGGGCCACTTCGCCGGAGTGTCCAGATTCTCCAAGACCTCCGGAGCGAGCTTCCTGTCGCGGCGGTGCGCTGGTGATCTGCTGTACGTGAGCGATCCGTGCGAGCACGTGTACGAAGGGGGGGAGGCGGGCGAGGATTTGGGTGCGTATCGGGGGGTGTTCAGGGGGTTTATGAGATCGAAAACGCGGGCTTATTTGATAGGAAGACACGTGGAGCTGGAGCAGAGGGTGCGGTGTCCGTATTGTGGGGCGCGGGTGTGGAGTATGACAGCGGCGCGGCTTGTGCCCCGTGCGGCGGCGCGGCGGTTGGGAGCTCATTCGGGGCGGTTGGAGTATTTTGTGTGCGTGAATGGGCATCTTCATGGGAACTGCTGGTTAGCTCATCTTTCGGATGATGATGGGGATGATGGGGAGGATGATGATGAGGGTGATGGGGAGGATGATGATGGGGATGATGAGTGATTCATTTGTGTTTTATGGTTGAGGAATAAAGATGGGGGGAGGTTTGTTTTGTAATTTGATTGGATTACTGGTGATGATTGGTCATTTTTACATGTAATGAGGTTTTGATTTGTGGGGATTATTGAATCGATGTTTGCATTTTTTAGAGTATTTATGATTTGTTTTTGTTTGAATATATATAGTGGTGATGTTTTATGTTTGATATATATATATATATATATATATCTCTAGGATTTTTTAAGAATTAAAATGGTGATATTTTTTTTATTTGATATGAAAGAGTTATGTTATTGGTCATACTCCAATAACATATCTCTAATTCCTCATCTATCTTAAACATGAAGATAGATCTCTCCTTTTCATTTATGTGAGCTACCCCTTATGATTAGGCTATCAATTTGGCTCGTTGTTCGCAAACAGCTGGTGTTTAGCTCGTTCGTTAACGAGTTGAACACGAACAAATTTTTCATCTCGAAATGTAAACAAGATGAACACGAACAAAAGTTTGTTCGCTCGTGTTCAGCTTGAATTGTCTCGAAAATAAATAAAAAATAAATATAATAAAAATTCATAAAATTAAATATTATAAATTATAATTAATTAATTTTTATATAAACAAGTTTTTTTATAAAAATTATAATTTTAATTTTATTTAAAAAAATTAATAATTATAGTAATTTTATATTCTATCAAGCCGAACACAAACATGAATAAGTTTTTCAAGCCGAACATGAACAAATTGTTCACGAGTCATTTCAAACACAAGTCAATTTCGAACGAGCTGAACACGAGCGCGGCCTGAGCTCGCTCGGGCTCCACTCTTTAACAGGCCTTATTATGATGACCTTGGCTTATATCTAGCATAAACACCTACTTTAATGTTCATATTTGTTACCCACTTCTAGTTATGTTGATACATTTTCAATTAAAATCATTGAAGTCAACAAATAAAAAGAAGAATACTTTGATGAGCATACCTTACTTAAGAAAGATGTGTAACATCTTTAAGTTAAGAGTTTCAATTTACTAAAATTAAGATGATAAGTGGAGAGTGCTCAATGACCCTATCCACCTTGAGGAGATGAGATAGTTTTGCTTCACAAATAATAATCATTAGTGCTGCAAAAAAAGTAATATGCTCGACAAGCTATTTATGCTTCAACTCAGTACTAATCAAACAAATTTAAACAATTATTTACATACTTAGTTGCTAAATAAATAAAAAATATTGAATAATTTTTTGCTTTTTACATTTTATTATGAATAGTAATATTTAAAATTCAAGAACTGCTTACTAATAAAGCTTGATTAAAATTTAATATAAAACTCAAATATGACTTCAAATTAAGAGTCCGTTTGGGGCGGCAGTACAGTAACGGAGAAAAAAGTTGCAATTTTGTATATTCGGGTTAACTGCATTTTAAAATATTTTCAAAAACTACCACTGAAATCCGCATTTTTCCGCTGGTTCTGGCTAGGTACGTGACAACTTTTGAGATGCGGTTTGACATTCTCTCCAAAAAAAAATTATAATAACCACCACAACTTTTTGAACATCAAATACTTTTTAACAGTTTCACAATTATTTTTTAATATGTTGTTGCTGCCCCTAACAGACCCTAATACTCTATTAAGGCTGATATGACAAAGAAGTAGCATCCTAATAAGAGATTACTTGTATTAATTATTAACATTTTTGGTTCAACTCACTTTGATTGCAATCCAAATGATCATATTGTTACTTGACAAGTTTCTCTTAGTTTTCAAAAGGTTTTATGATGCATAACTATGAAAAAAAAAACTAGGAGCATTTATATACATAGCACACAATTCCTATGTATTTATATATCTCAGACCTAAACTTTTCATATTTACACATAACACTCAAATCATTAACATCACATCAAAAAGAGAACTAGTATAACTTTTCAAAAGTGAAACACATTTTCATGTATATATTTAAAACATCAAACTGTCATACATGCAAATATGAAAATGTAGGGGTGAGATGTGTAAATACAGAATAATTTAAAAAATAAAAGTCAAAGAGAAAAGAACACACAAAAGTGCAGAAAATCTTTTCAGATTCATTTTTATTGAAAAGAAATGGTTCAAAACTAAAACACCAATTACACATACAAAAAGAATTGTATTTTGATGGCTACAAAAATAAAAGAACCAAGGTAGGGAAAAGGGGTTCTGCTTGTCTTCTGAGTGAAGGGAATAAATATTCTACATTGACAACAAATATAGATATAACTATATATTTATATATATACCCTTTAAGCTAACAAATAAATAAGGCAACAGAGGACTGGGAAAAACTGAATCTGAATCAGATGGATCATACTACCAGAGAAAAGTCTACAGAAATGATACAGAGAGAGCCTCAATGAAAATTGACATTAATTTGGACTTACTGGAGAATAAGGGTAAAATACATATGTACAGTGTGATGATGCTCTGGTTGCATCTCTCTTTCTTCATCTGTTGCAGAGTTTTTGCCTCTTTTGCAGAAGATGGAGAAGAAGAAGGCTTCCACCCCCCAGGAAAAATGCCCAGGGAAGTATCAAATTCTGGCACATCAAAGGTTAGAAGAGGTTAGAAAATAGACTAAAATGATCTCAGTTATGAAAATAGTTGCTAGACATTTTAATATCTGAGTAGTGCCAAAATAGTCCGCTGACGATTTATATGGAGCTATTTTAGCCCCAAAGTTTATAAAAATGTCATATTAAATTGGGGCTCATATAGTCTTTTGGGTAGACTATTTCAGCTCATACTGACATTTTAATGGAGTATGGGGATAAAATCAAAGTTTATAAAAATGTCATATTAAATTGGGGGTCATATAGTCTTTTGGGTAGACTATTTCAGTTCATACTGACATTTTAATGGAGTATGGGGATAAAATAATACCCTCCAAAGAGTCAATGGATTATTCTGACACTTGGTATCAAAAATTTGAATCATTATCTCTACAAATTGAAACTAATTTGATCCTGCCATTTCTTTAGATGATAAGTGCTAGATGGTTCAAGATGTTCTTCATGAAGAAATTTTGAGCTATTTATCATGAAAGGTTCAAAATGTCAACATAAAAAACTTGTCTACATAAATTTTCATCCAACAAAACAATAAAAGAAGATTTACATACACACCACTCAAATCCAAAATATTTACATGTGCAACACCTGGATTTCAAATTTTAAATGCATGCCACCTTTACCTTTGCATGGAAAGATGTATTTCACTTTTAAAAAGTTAAATGAGTGATACTGTTGATGTGATCTGAAAGATTTTGGAGATACAAATGTACAAAGTTCAGGTATCAGATATGTAAATAGATAAGAATTAGATGATATGTATGTAAATGCTCCAAAAATAAATTCTAGTACCCAAAAATATTCAGTTGGTGAGTCGAGGGAGGGATTAAATCAAATCCCAACAAAATTCCAACAACCATTTTGACAATCTACTCGTTAGAAAACAGCAACAACAGCGAAACATAGCAAATGAAGTACCAGATCATGATATTGCAACCTAGTCATCTTCCTCTCCAATAAGCTGGTGCTGTAAAGACAAAAAAATTTAAATAAAGATGAGTAGCACACTCAACTAGGTATAACCACACTAAAAAACTATCTAAAATGCAAAAACTAGTTCCAATTAAATTCACCTGAAACTGAGTTTTCCAATGATTGCCTTGAAGCAGATAGAGGATAACTAGATGTTCTGGGAGCATAAAACCAGTCTTGACATTGAGCAGCTGGTGGATCCAGGTGAGGGCCATATAATGAAGGAGGAGCAGGCGGTGGAGGTTCCACCTTTTCAGGTGTCAATCCCATGGGACCTGAACAAAAGTGGTTCTATCAGCACTACGGGTGTAAACAAGCAGATCTTTAGCGAGCCCAATGTTTGTTCGTGAATTATTTTCCGTTTGAAATCAGCTCTTGTTTAAAATGGCTCATGAATAATGTTCGTATTCAGCTCGATGCAAATTTTTTTGTTCGCTTTAGCTAAAATTAGTTCAAATAAATTAAAAATTAATAAATGATGCTTTTTTTAAAAAAATGTCATAAAAAAATTATAATTATAATTATTTTAAAATTAAGTAAAACCCCTAAATAGTCCAAAAACAATTAAGAATTGTCTAATTTAGTCCTAGAGTTTTAGAATGCTCCAATTTAGTCTCACACAATTAAAAGTTGCTTCAAATTGGACCTAAATCATACTTTCCATTAAATTTAAAGGCAGTCTATATGAATTGAAGGATATTTTTATCTTTTTTTGAAATTATTCAAAATTTATATGATTTGTATATAAATCTCTTAAGAACAGTCATCATTTTTTTCAAATAAAATTATTTGTTGAATCACCATTTGAATAGACAAACTTATGTTTATATATAAAAAGATTAGTGGTCTGTCATCAATCACATAATTTTATTATTCACATACATAATGGTTTAAACGTAAAATAAATTCATTCATTAGTTTTTCAATTTAATTTTAACTATTTTAAAATACATTCTCTAATAAATAATATTAAAATAAAAAATTCAATTGAAATCGACTAATTCATATAATTTCAGATTAAGTGAGTTTTTCTTGCATAATTATTGATTATATCAAAAAAATTTATTTGAAAAAGAAATGATGACTCTTGTGAAGAGATTATATAATGTAAATTAAAATTTATAATTCTTTAACAATAAATAAAAAAGAGATTTATATGCAAATCACATAAATTTTAAATAATTACATAATAACGAAAATACACTTCAATTCATGCGTGTCACCGTTAAATTTAATAGAAAATATGATTTAATACTAATTTTAAGCAATTTTTAATAGTCGAGGACTAAACTGGAGCATTCTAAAACTCTGAGACTAAATTGGACACTTCTTAATAGTTTGGAGACTATTTTGGGCTTTTACTCTTTTTAAATTATTTAATTCATTTTAGCTAAAATGAGCCGAGCATAATCAAATAAAAGTTTATTTGTGCAGTTATAAATTGCGCTAAAAGAAAATTTGCCTGTGTCCGGCTCTCTTTGAACGAATAGAACATGTGCTATTTAATAAGCCAAAAAAGAGAACAACCACCTTTTTTTCCCATGCACGAAGAAATAGAAGCAAAATGAAGCCAAATTTAAGCGCAAACGGGAAAAATAGAATCAGCATGTGATATTCATGTAGTACCTGCATAGGCAGGCGGATAAAATGCACTTCTATCAGGAACATCAACCTGGCCCAAACCTCTTTGATTATCGTGTGGATTATGAAACCTATCCGAGTAAGAAGGTTGATTGGCTGGAGCTTGTGGTCTGTGCTGCGGCTGAGCTTGAATGTATGAAAACTGATTCGAGACTACATGAGGAGGTGGCTGCAAATGATAAAGCTTATTTCCAACAGGGATGGCAGGCTGAGAACCACCGAGATTGCTAAATGAGCCTGAAGAAGTTGAAGAAGAAACAAGTTGTGGCATCGGTTGTGGATGGCCAACATATCCTTGGGAATAGAAGGCGGCAGACTCCGGCAAAGACGAGCTGCAAAGCAGACCGTTTGGTTGCTGATTGACTGGTCTCAAAAATTGATTTTGAGGAGTCTGCATGTAGTATATTAAATCAAAATCAGTAGGCAGAATTCACAATTCACATCAAACAATTCCTACTAATTTACATATCTAAACACCTAAACTTTCCTTTTTACATTTACACCACCCAAATATTTCATCTCACATCAAAGATGCTACCATTTTAACTTCTAAAAAATGAAATACACTTTTTCATGCATAGGTGAGGTGGTATGAATGTAGAAATTGAATTATAGGTGTTACATAGAAAATAAATAGGAATTACGCGGTACGAATGTCGAAATTCCAATTATTTGATGGCAAAAGGCAAAAGATTCATCAACTAACTGAACTTACATAACTGGCACCAAAATCAGTGTTATCCGCGGCAGCAGTTAAGCCAGCTAAAGAGTGAGGAGTTTGGCCGGAACAAGCGGGAGGCATTGGGGGCGGAGAAGATGGCAAAGGAGGGGGTGATGGCGGTCGTTCCTCTGGAAGCGGAGGTGCAAAAGATAATAAATTGTTTTGCTCACAATTATGACTGCAATTACTCAAAATTTCATCTCCTTTATTATGACATGTAGATTGGCTTGCTTCGTGTCCACAAGGTGGTGCGACATCCTCCATCTCGAGCTCTCCATCAACATCTTCTAACACGAGACGATGCTTTTCGGCGGACTTTGGAGTTGTTCCCTTTTCAGAGTCTTCAGCATTCCTATCGGGTGTAACGGCCTCAAAATCTTTTTCATCGGAGGCACTTCCCTCGTCATCTTCCATAATCCGAGTATTAAGAAATTGTGGAAGCTGAAAACTGGCATTACTGGGGAAAAACAGAAATAGTCAAATACAGAATTGCAGCACAATGTGCAGCAGACCAAATATGACTGTACCACGACTAAAACCTTAGCACAAATGCAATAACACTAAATCAAGCACACAGCCATTTGAAAGATAAAATCTCACGATGAAAAAACTAAATGTCTTTAAAATAAAAATTAAGATTTTTACATGTGATACTATTGTCATAATTAAATAACATAATATATTTTTGAATCTAATTAATAAAAACACAAAAAACAATGGATATATAGAAAAAATGTTAATCTATGATAACTTTTTACATTATTTAAATAAAAATTGTATTTAAAAAAATCAGTTGCAGCCGTTGATCGATAAAATCACTTTCAGAGTGCTCTCAAATCGAATGGTTTTAGTTATCCGGTCCCTTTCAACTTTGCCATTGTTAAACAAACTAAGGAGAGACACATGGAGCTCACAGAAGTGGAGATTGGAGTTTATGGGAGAAAAGCATTGGACCGCGTGTATGCCATTTATAATTGAAATATTAATGAGATTCTTTTTTCTTTTCAATATTTTTATATCAGAATTGTTTATTTATTATTATTTTTTATTTTAAGAAAAAGATACAACAACAACAACAAGAACAAACCATTACCCCACTAAGTGGGGTCAACTACATGAATCCTTTTTCTCCATCGTGTCCTATTGAGTGTCATATTTTTATTTAATTCTAATAAATCAAGATCAATTTTTATACAATATGCCCGAGTCTTTCAAGGTCCACCTCTGCCTTTCTTAACATAAGTCAAATCAAGAACATCTATTCTCCTAACCGGATCCTCAGATGGTCGACGTTTAATTTATCAAATCATCTAAAACGATCTCTCAAATTTTGTCCGCCACTGGAGCTACACCAACTCTATCATGTACATATTCATTTCGCATTTTGTCTCCAAGTGTAAAGCCACTCATCCACCTAAGCATGTTAATCTCAGCAACACTTAACTTAGTCTTATACTTCTCTTTTAAAGGCCAACAATCGGCGTCATAGAGTATGGCAGATCTCACCACCATCTTATAAAATTTTTCTTTCAGTCTAAGCAATCATTTTCTATCACACAATACGCCCAAAGCATTCCTCCACTTCAACCAACCAACTTTAATTCTACTAATAACAACCTCATCTATATCACCATCACTTTGAACAATTGACCCGAGATATCTAAAATATTCATTCCTTTGAATAGTTTGGCAACAATTGTTACAACCCTGCCACTAGATCTACTATTAATAAAATTACAATCCATGTATTCAGTTTTAGATCTACTCGAATGAAGTCTTCTAAAGCCTTAAGATTTAAAGTTAACCTCCACAAACTAAGTTATTTCCTGAACTCTCGCTCTAGTCTTATCCACAAGAAGAATATCATCAAAGAAAAACATACACCAAGCTACATTCACCGACAAATGTCCAGTAAGAACATCCATAAATAAAGAAAAAAAATATGGGCTTAAAGCTGACATCTAATGTCATCCAAACTAACATAGAAAAATACTAGGTTAATCATCCTTTTGTTTGAACACAAGTAACAACTATATTATACATATCTTTAATGACTTGAATATAAGCAATATCAACGCCTTTCTTTTCTAGAACTCTCTTTTTTAAATCCTATGTAGATCCTCCTTAATCTCTCTATACATCCACCGATAAATGTCCAGTAAGAACATCCATAAATAAAGAAAAAAAAATATGGGCTTCAAGCTGACCTCTCATGTCATCCAAACTAACATAGAAAAATACTAGGTTAATCATCCTTTTGTTTGAACACAAGTAACAACTATATTATATATATATTTAATGACTTGAATATAAGCAATAACAACACATTTTTTTTCTAGAACCCTCCAAAGTACTTCTCTTGGAACCTTATCATAAGCTTTTTTGAATCATATGTAGATCCTCCTTAATCTCTCTATACTTCTCCATCATACCTCTCAATAAATATATAACTTCCATGATAGACTTGGGCAACATGAATCCAAACTGATTTTGAGAAATTTTTGCATCATGTGGAAACCTATGTTCAATTATTCTCTCCCATAACTTTCATATGACACACTAAAATAATTCATCTATAATTTACGCATTCTTGTGCAACCCCTTTATTCCTAAAAAAAATAACAAATAGACTCTTTCTTCACTCATCAGACATATTTTTTAGTTTTTAAAATAATTTTAAAAAGTTTAGTGAGCCAAAAAAATATTCAAATTTCTTAAACATTTCCACTTCTATTGGAATATTATTTGATCCTACTAATTTTTCACACTTCATTCTTTTAAAGCTTTTTCAACTTCTATTTTACTAATGCGGCTGTCAAATTAAAAAATGTGTTATTATTTACAATATTTAGAGATTGTATTCTCGCCCAACTATGTTGAATATCTTCATCTAAGAAAAGTACAATTTAATTTTCATCCTTAAGACATTTAACTTGAACTAAATATTTACTTTCCTTATATTGGATGACTTTAATTATTCAAAGATAACATAATTCTACTCATTCATAAGAACTGCATGACAGACACAAAATACTATTCCAGCTAACTCCCACAAATGAGTTGCTCGTAAGTCAAAAATCTCCCACAAAAAAGATAAAGAGTAAACAAAATGGCATAAACCTTGCATTATGATTGTAATAGTTAGTTCACTTAAATAAAAAAAAAATTACGATATATCATGGAATTCTCTTTTCTAAAGAGATTTACGGCTACATTACGCTTTATGTAGCTCTATATCAATGATATCACGCTCTTTAACAGTTATGGATAAAAACTATCCATGACACTGATTTTATAGATTTATAGATAGAAACTATCCATGAAACTCTCCATTTAATCCTTTAGACTTTCAAAAATGATATCAAATATTCTCAAGTATGTATTTCCATTAAAAGAAAGGCGCATTTACATACATAACACATAATTCTTATGTATATACATATCTAACACTTAAACATTCATATTTACATGCATGCCACTCAAATCTTTAACATCATATCAAAATATCAACATCACTATCTTTTTAAAGCCACGAAATACACCTCTTCATGCATAGGTTTATGACACCAAAAAGTTATAAGTGTAAATATCAGAATTTAGGTGTTAGATATGTAAATACATAAGAATTTTGTTGTAAGTACGTGAATTTCCTTAAAAAAAATATGCAATCACATCTTTGGCTCTACAAATGGCCTCGGATAGGTATCCCATTGTAGGTTACAATTACCATCCCGAAAGCAAAGAACCTTCACCAAGGGGATGCTCGAGTTTAATGCAAATAGATGTTGTTCCAAAGGAGGTAACAGGAATAGCCTCAAATGCCCTCTTTCCTAAATAATTAATTGCAAGCAAATGTTAACTTATTCAATCATATAAACAAACACAATCCTTATATTTTGCTTAAGAAATCTGAAAAAAGACAAAAATGCATTGGGAAATTGAGTTAATTGCTCGTTGCAAGTCTATGATTATAACTGAAACCTTAGACTTCTATATCCTTATAAGAGTTCCTCTAATAGTAGTTATCTTTTAAATATCCTCCGATATCAAAATCTAAACAACGAGCAACATATGAAATTCAATAAAAAGGTCTTATTTTTTTCATTAGTAATTCTCTCAAACTGTCAAGTACAAGTCCATGCTAATAAATAAAGCATGACTCTATAACCCTGTTTAAAGTTCCTCTAACAGCCAGTGACTTTCCAATGTCCTTCAAAAACAAATCTAAACAATAAGCTTCATATCAAATCCAATACAAAAATAATTTACATATGAAAAAAAATGATCTAAGGATTAAGAATCGAATAATAATAAATTTAAAGCGTAATTAAGGTCAATAATTGAAATAAAAACTTCCCCAATATTCTCATCTTGCTTGTACTAGTTTCTTTTGCGTGGCTAGAAGTATTATTATTCACAGTACTTCTTTTGGTTCTTTGGAACTTGTGCTATCTATTTTATATATACCAACATCTTGGCTGTAATACCTCGAAGCATTAATTAACATTTCATCATCCTGGCTAACATTGATGTTATTTTCATCTATATATATAATCTGTTTTGCTGCATTTACATTGGGTTGATAACCAAATAATTTTTCTTTTCACTTCATTGGAGCATTCTTAAACACCATATCTCTCTTCCACTATCCTTGCCCAATGCTCCATAGCTCAAGAAAAACATGTTTGTAATATTTTCACATGAAATACACTTACGCTTAGCCTCTTTATTTGCACCAACAAGATGTGTATATTTCCATGTAAGAAATTTTCTTCCTGTACGCACAGACATTGTTAAAGAAGATAGGTAAATTTACATACATTCCAAACAATTTTAATGTATTTACATATCTAACACTCGAAGTTTGATACTTACAAATATAACACCTAGGTGTGATAAAACCTATGCATTTCAAGTGGAATGCATGTAAATATGAGAGTTTCGTATTAAATACATAAGAATTATGTGGTATGTATGTGAATGTATGAGAGTTTCGTATTAAATACATAAGAATTATGTAGTATGTATGTGAATGCCCCTAAAAGAAAAGTAAAATTTATTTATTTTTTGGATTAAGCATCCTAAAATTTATTAGAAGATCAAATTAACATTAATAGGAAGTATATAATTAGAGAATTACTAAACAGAACCTACAACGAAAATATTCAATAATTACTAAACAAAACCTCAACCTAAATATTCAATAATTAAACAAGGAAATAAAAAGTTACGCATAAAAAATTTCAAATAAATAATGAAAAGCATCATACTGATATGTTAAATGACAAAATCAAAAATACTAAAAAGTCACAAAGCACAACAAAGAAACACTCAAACAATTAAAGGAGTGAATATGTTTGCTATGCTAATAATCAGGTCAATGAAAAGTTGAGAATCAAATTTTAAAATTAAAGTTAAAGAATGTAGTGATTCTAATGCTAAAGGAAAAAATAATTGAATATATAAAGAACTGTAGACACTTAACAATCAACAAAATCCCATAAGATTGAGAGCCATACACCCAAAAATTTTAGGACATGTTAAACGGCCAAATCACAACAACAATAAAATCGGTAAAGCACCACAAAGAGACACTCAAACAATCAATGGAATAGAGATGTCAACGATAATTCCAAAATGAAGTCAACAACAACAACAGAAAAGCCTTTATCCCACTAAGTGGAGTCGGATACATGAATCTTATGCCTCCACTGTGTCCTATTTAGTGTCATACTTTAATAATACCAAAATGAAGTCAATAAAAAATCCAAATTTCAAATTGAAGCCAAAGAATCCAGTGATCTAAAGACACTGAACAGAGAATTAAGCATATAAAGACTACTGTGAAGAACGTATACTTGACAAAACCTGATGCGATTGAGAGTTATTATCTTGCATAGACTAAGCTAGAATTGCTTCTACGGGTGAGTCAAGAAGCCAACTTTTTATGCTGGCATAGTGAAAGATAGAGGATAAAAATAGGCGCCTTTACATACATACCACCCAATTCTTATGCATTTACATATCTAATACCTAAACTTTAATTTTTACAAGTATACCACCCAAATCTTTCATATCATATCAAAAATACCATCATTTAACTTTTTAATACATCTTTTCATGCACAGGGAAGGTGGCATGTATGTAAAAATTGAATATTAGGTGTTAGATATACAAGTACATAAGAATTGAGTGGTATGCATGTACATGTTCCAAAAAATTGAGAGAAACCTAAGAACCAAATGCTTTAAAAAAAAAAAAACAGAGCGACTGAAACCAAAAAAGCCATGAGTTATGCATTTCAAGTTGTGTCATTATGTGATGTGTGTGCCGGATTTTTTGGGGGAAAACTGACAGGGTAGCTATGAATCAAGAGCATTATTATAGCACCAACGTCTAAAATGTGCATGCATAACAGCATTATTATAGCACCAACATCTAAAATGAGCATGCATAACAGTCACATGATGAGTCACAAGAGTATTATGGCAAGCTCGCCTTGTCATACTTCATTAGGTCTGTGTGTCACAACAGAGCAAAATGTTAGTGTTTGCCACTAAAAGAGCCACACAATGGAAAGGTGCTCTAGAAATGCTTTTGACAACATTGGTTGATATTTGATAGCACCAAAATCCGCCTTATTTTAACTTTGTTCAACATTATCAATTTTAGAGTAGTCATTTTTTAAACAATTTCCACTGAAATTTATGATTGCTATCCAAGAAGCTCTTCTTGAATTTTCAATCAATCTCCTTTATTATTATCAACACAATTCATCCACTAGCTTCACATATTTTTTTAGAGAGTCATTTTATATGATTTTCAAACTCATTTTGCTTTGATTGAAAATTTTGATAAATGTTGATTACCATCATGATTTGCTGAGAGAAAGAGATGGGGATGTACTCTTACCTTTGATAGGTTGGTTGAGAAGGGAGTAGAGAAGAAAAGGAAATTCTCTTTTTGCACCACAAATCATTGAGCCAATTTGTGTAGGAGTCTGTGTCACGAGAGGTGGGAATGCTATCAGAGTAAGGGGGGAATTAGTGACGTACACTTTGTGTCAATATTAGACGACTCCATTGTCAAGGTATTATTAATTTCAATGTTTAATATTTGCACAATTGCGTACAGAGGCATTTTTTGTTCATAAAAAAAATTTGCATAAATTAATAAACATTGTTTAAATTATAAAAGTATGTGAGTAAGAAATAATAATTTAAACAAGGGTTACTTTAGTCTGACAATGCATACATTCGAGGGGGAGAAAATAAGAATGGAGTTTCCCATCCGAGCTAAAGAAAATGTGTTATGGGGCAGCGAGTTTTTGCATTTAATGACCAGTAAACATGTCCATTGGTCTGAAAGGTATAAAAAGGAGTGATGTACTTATAATAATCTATTAATTAATAAAAGTGAAAGGAACTACTAAGATGTTATGATAAAATTTGTTTGAGGTGAGAGTTGAGTTGCTCGCCTTAAGTAAGCTGTTCAATTTTCAAGAGTTCCAAGTCAAGCTTGAAAGAAATAAGACCCATCATACAAGCATTAATCATATAATGATATATATCACAATTGCTCTGCAAATCATCCATTTAAAGAAAAAAAAAATCATTGAAGGAGTTGGCTATACAATTCTAACTTTATTGAACATAAGATTCAATATGTGATTTCCTCTTGAAATAATCAATAATTTAAATTTATTAAAAAAATAAGATCGGTAATAACTTAATTAGTTGAAAGATAGGACAAGATGACTAAAGCGTTTATGATTACCTTAAAAATAAAGAACTAAAAACATAAAGAAATCTAAATAAATCTAATTATTCGGTGAACCCACTTATAATTAAGTAGTCCTTTAATATGATAAAAACCAACAATTCCATTGTAAAAAAACACTTGTTCGATCACATCGCTCCATAGAAAATATAATTCATAATAAAAACAATATATAAAAAGCCAAAGCAGAAGAGAAAGTCAAGAAGAAAACCAAATCACTGGACAGGCATCAGGGTGACTTGGTGAAAGAATATACAGGTAAACAAAGACAATAAAAAAGGTTGTCATCATTAAAAAAAATACAAAAAATGTCATTTCCTAACTCAAAATTTAGATCATTAAAACGTCACCTAGAAAATGTCATAAATAAGACAAAAATACCATGTATAAACTACTACATATAACATTCATGAAACAATAATGTATAAAGTAATTGATAATTAGCTTTTGCAGAAATTATGGTATAGCAATTATTGCATATGCAAAATAAGAGCAGTTACATGATAATTAATAAGGTTACAAGATTATAACATAGCATGTAATAGTTTTTTTTTTTTTCTTTTTTTAAATAAAGATGAAGCCATATAGTCGAATAAATTAAGAGAAAATGCTATGAGACAAAGTCACCCCCTTGCCTACATATCTTCTCACGATGCAATTAATCATTAGCAGTTCTTTGTCATAAGGATTTTTCATAGCTAATCATCATAGAACTTATCCCACCATATATTTATTTATAATCTCAGTCTTTGCCGCCAAACAAGATATAATTCCACATTCCCACTTATCAAAGGCCACAAAAAATTTATGGTTTCTTTTTGAAGGTTGGCATTCAATTTGATGATCTCTAATTCAACCAGCTGGTTTGCCTCTGTCTTCTAGTAAAGTCTCCAAAACCAATTTTTAAATCAGGAGACTCCGGCTTATGAAATTGACACTTTCTACCATGATCTCCCAATGGTTCCAAATCAAATGCCATCACGGAAAGCCACTCACAACTTGATTACATATACATGCTAAAAAACAAGGCAAATTTACATACATAGCACACAATACTATTCCATTACATATCTCACACCTAAACGAAGATACTTACATGTATAGCACTTTAGTGCTTTAAACTTATGCATGAACAGGGTGTATTGCAAATATAAAAAGTGGTAAGAGCTATCTTTGATGTGATATTAAAGATTTGAGCACTATGTATGTAACCATGAAAGTCTAGGTGTGAGACACGTAATGCATAGGAATTGTGTGCTATGTTTGTAAATGCCCCAAAAAACAAATAGCTAAATCGTGAATGGTTGAATATTTCATTAAACATGAAGCGAAATCAAAGCTTGAAGCATATGAAAAATAGATAGTATCTCATCGACCAAAGTAAGTTAGACACTATTGATAATTATTGTGAGTGGCTACTTGTAATGATTAATGATGTGAGATATAATAGCTTTACGTGATATGACAAACCAAACTATCAAAGTTGCAACAAGCTTGGAAGAACATCAAAATCATAAAAGAACGAGATTTCATTATACATCCAAGAGAAAATCATCAAGCAAGATCAAAGAATTATACTAGCTCAACTATTAAGTCAATGAAGTAATAAGAAAAACCATTATCATGTGAAAAGTTGATTTCGATGAGGTTGCATCTAAAAGTTCTTTTGTTGAGTAGAAAACTGAAGATATGATTAAAGAAGAATTTGTTTACAAAAAAGAAAGATTAAGATGATGTGGAAGGCAATAATAATAATTAAATGTTTGTTTAGCATAATTGGAGTTATGCTCAACTTTGGTAAATTATTGAGAGACTTAATAATTTATAAACTGCTTAGAAGCTAAATATGAGTATATAATTTCTTGGGGTTAGGTTCACACTTCGACTTATGAAAAGTTTTATTTAGATCTTTAGTATAATGCTTTTCATTGGTTTTCTTATGTTGTTTCATAAATTGAAGTTTTCTTAGGTTATTATCAACATCTTGTTATGTTGAATTATTTTAATAATACAAGAGAATTAAGAAAAACGTGCTTAAAGGTTCACACTTATTCTTCTAAAATGTCTACATTTAGTTTAAATTTTTAGCTTGATTATTAGTTGGTAATAGTTTTACTAGTTGATATTTGATATAAGATGTTATATATCATGTCATTATTATGAATGATTTAATACTGTGTATAGTTCCTTGTAATATTTGAACTTCGGTTAACCCAAAAAAAAAAAATTGCATTGTTTGCCCTTAGTGTTAGAAAGCTATTAAAAAAACTTACTGGGTAATTTCTACAAAATATACTCATAACAACACCAAAATTTGCCAGGTGCAGCATAAAGAGTTGGGGAGAAAAAATACAGGGCAGGAACAAACCTTCCATACTCATCAACAAGCATTCCCTCCATTTCCCTTACTGGATCATTAAGAGGCCTTTCTGTTCTGGGAGGCCGTCTAGAATACGAAATACTTAATGAAGCTTCGCTTCCATATTCAAGTTCCCTTAAGTGGTGCCGAACTGTGAACTCAGGAAGAGTCCTCCTCTCAAGCCATAGCCTCAAAACCTATCCTTCCAAATAGAAACTATTAATAAACAATACAAAAAACAAATATATTTGGGGCACTAACATATATAGCACACAATTCTTATGCATTAACATCTCACACCTAAACATTCATATTTACACACATCGCTGAAATCTTCAATATCACATAAAAAAAGCACTATTGTCAGTTTTTAAAAAGTAAAATACACCTTTTCATGCATAGGTTTAAAGGACCAAACTGCTATGTATGTAAATATAAAAGTTTAGGAATGACATAGGTAGATACATAAGAATTGTGTACTTATAAGCTATTTTTCTCAAAAATAAGAAAGAAAAAAAGCACTATTGTCACTTCTTAAAAAGTAAAATACAACTTTTCATGCATAGGTTTAAAGGACCAAACTGCTATGTATGTAAATATAAAAGTTTAGGTATGACATAGGTAGATACATAAGAATTGTGTACTTATAAGCTATTTTTCTCAAAAATAAGAAAGAAAAAGACTAGAAGATATGCTTGCCTTGAGACACTGTCTGCGGTTCTCTGATGCAGCATTTCCCGGAGGCGCAGCAGCTGATAATAACCGTGGCAGTATAGCTTGCACGAGGGAGGGATAGACATCTCCAGGTCCACCTATAAAATTCAAGCAAGATACTAACATTTACAAATTTCAATAATACCCAAAAGCGTTAAAAGGGGTTACAATTTTTAAGAAGTAAAATACCCTTCTGAGATCTAGAACACTGAGTGATTGAATCGACAAGAAAGAAAAGATCTACCCTTCTGTGCAAGCTCGACTCTTTTTCCAAATGCTGAAGAAGAATATCAATCACCTAAATATTATAGAAAACATGCAGCAAAATAAGTAAAAATCCTGATCAATTAGAAAGCTGAAAAAGTTAAAGTAAATTCTTTGATTTAGAAAAATTAATTGTGCAACCAATCCAAAATGCTGCTATTCTTAATAGTATTATCAATTCAAAATAGCCACTTTTCCAAAGACAAAAACAACTAAAAGAAATTAGGAAGATTTACATACATACCACTCAATTCTTATGTATTCACATATCTAACACCTAAACTTTAATTTTTACATACAGGCCAACTTTCCCATGCATTAAAAGGTGTATTTAACTTTTCAAAAGTTAAAATGGTGGTGTTTTTTATGTGATACGAAAGATTTGGATGGTATAAATTTAAAAAGTAAATATCACGTGTTAGATATGTAACTAGATAAGAATTGGGTGGTATGCATGTAAAAGCCACAAAAATTATCAAAAAAGCTTTTACACAAAACAATCATAACAAAAAAGCCTTCTCAATAATAACATGAAAAGGGCTCAACAAGGAAAAGGTTTCTTCTTTTTTTTTAAAAAAAAATTATGGTTTAGATAAAAATGAAAATGAGTATCAGTGCATGCACATACAACATGCATTCACAAAATAGATATAGTGCAATTGCGGTTAGAAGGCCAGTAAAAGGAATCGATACTTCAAAAAAAAAGTTATGATGAATTTTAAATAAGAATTAACAAAAAATACAGCATAGGACAATTAAATATAAAAAATAAAAACAAGAGGGGGAGAAGATAAATCACAAAGGCCAAGACTACACCATATTACAAAATTAACACCAAATGCAGTCTAAATAAACAAATATGACGCAAGACTTTATACGATAATTTACAAGAACTAGCAAAGACACAGATGGGTATCATTGTAAAATCACTTTCCTTCAAGGATTTCAATCAATCTAAAACTTCAAAAGGTATAGTGTAATGTGATAAGTGTCATCATCAATATCAAAACGCTTGTTTGCACTCCCATGATGGTTATCTTTGCAAATTAATTTTGAATACATTAAAATTGAGCACTAAAGCAGCCCCTTTGTGCACAATATTTCAATATATTTCAGGCTATGCCCAACCATGGTGCTTATCAAGCCTCCCACAAACTAAAGGTATGGAGACTTCAAACATAAAATAGGTACACCACCCCCCTTAGTATGAAAAGAGATGGATGCATATAAAATTAAGAGGAAGACGCAAACAAGCTATTGAACATGCATGCAAGTTCGCACATCAATATCGGCAAAGACCCCCACCTCAAATAACTTAAAGGGGTATTTACACACATACTACCTAACTCTTATGGATTTACATATCTAACATCTAGACATTAATTTTTTACATTTATTCCACCCATTTCCTTCATAGCACATAAAAAAACCACTATTCTAACTTTTAAAAAATGGAATACACCTTACCATGCATAGGTAAGGTGGTATATATGTTAAAATTGAAGTTTAGGTGTTAGATATTTGTAGTAAATACATAGGAATTGAGTGGCATGCATGCAAATCTTCCTTAAAAAAATTCATGCTCGTAGTTTTTCAGTATAGAAAAACATATACAGATTAAATTAAAAAAATGCATTGCAACATGTTTCCAAGAATCATCACCATTTGCACGTAACCACTTAATAGAATGTATCACTATAGAAGTTGTATAGAGGAATTCCTTCATCTAAATTGCATGCTTTGAAAGATTTTTGTGGCATTTACATACATAGCACACAATTCTAATATATTTAAATATCTCACACCTAAACATTTATATTTACACACATAGCAGTCAAATCTTTATATCACATCAAAAATAGGACTTATCACTTTTTGAAAAGTGAAACACCATCTCATGCAAAGCTTTAAAACACCAAAGTGCTATAAGCATATGAAAGTTTTAGAGTGAGATATGTAAATACATAAGAATTGTGTGCTGAGTATGTAAATTTCCCTAGATTTTTTTAGATAAGAAGTTTGGAAGCCATGTATGTATCCAACCTCTCCAGCAATCCCATATTTTGCACAGTCGATTGCAATACGAGTTGCTCGACCAATGCTTTCTTTTGTTCTCGACAATGTGCATAATAAAGACTCGAAGCATCTTCGTGCTGAATCCACTTCAAAATGATTTGCATATTTGTTAAACCCTTTTCTAGAAGAACCATCCAGCGGAGTTCTACTGCCATTCTGCAGGCAGCAAGTCCCGTCATCTGAAGTAGGTCTGTGATAGAGCACGGGATTTGAAGGTGAACCTCGTCCAGAAGAATCGTCCTTGTTTATTAATGATGGGCTTAGGACAGCATCAGGAGCGATCTTACCATCTATAACACTATCACAAATGGAAGTAGATCGAGATAAAGATCGCTTAGCTTGTGCGGCGGCAATCAAATCCTTAATAGGAGCCAACTTAGATGAATTAGTCATATTCTTGGGAATTTGCTTAGCTTCTAGTGCAACAGGCTGCCTACAATTCAAACAAAACGAGTTTACAAATTATGACATACTAAAGATTTTGGGAAAATGAAATGGTAAAAAAACTCCGATTTATGGCACTAATGGCACGCCCGTTAAAACTGTGGGTAGAGGAAGTTCGCCAAATCATACAATTAGGACTTTGGCAAAGGATAGGCCTCACAAAGGGAAGTTTATCAATGCCAAATATCATTTCATTAAAATAAAAAAAGATAAAGAATTAAAGAAAGAAATATAATGCAATGCATTATGGAAGGAAAGTCCAAAATATAATTTCAACTCCCAATACATGGACATTCTCTTCGTTACAAACCTACACCAACTTGAACAAACACTTCCACATCAATTTTACACCTACAATAAAACACACAAGTACTCCCCTTTAAAATTTACAAGAAGTGCATCTATAATCCTATCTAATTCAATTTTTCTACTATTATGGTCAAATAATTTCACATCAAATTTATTTGGGAAAATTACGTGTAGCACCCAAATCTTCATTATTTATTCAACTAATGTGCAATTGTCTCCACTTATAATACCACCATCCAAAGCAGTCTCAGATAAATTTGATATACGATGCATTAATACATAGGATTTGACAGTTTATTTTAAGAATTTATATGTTAATTTTACAAATAAGGGGGATTTCAGTGTTGCAAACATAATTACAGAATATTTTTCAAAAAATCCACTTGAGACTTCTTATTCACTCAACTGTACTAATATGTCCAATAACTAAGCAAGTGGATGATTAGATGCAAGAATAATGGATCTTGGGACTATTCAGAAATTAATCCACTTAAGTTTATTTTAAAATGAAATTAATCAAAAATATGATGTCAGCAAATTAATTCATTTGGGTAGATTTCTTAAGGATACTACACGAATTACACACTCTTGTTGACTTACCAAAACAACCCGGTATGCAGATTTCTAAATGATTCAATCATTTTCTTTTAATTGTCCATTTTTTTCTTTCCATCATGGAGATTTGTAATAATAATTGAAATTGTTATGCACAATGTTTCCACTTTATAGCATTAAAATTATCAACTCATTTAGAAGATGTAGAAAAGTAATGAAAAAAGAAGATAAAACCTTACATGTCTCCAACTCGTGAAGTTTGCTCAAATTTTGGCCTCGAAAGTGTGGCCATGGAGGTGGCCATGGAGGTACAATTTACTGAAGTACTAAAATTAGTGGTTACCAAAGCTGCAGCACCATCCTCATCACCAGCCAAGGAGCAAACATTTGGCGCCGATGAAACTGAAGGGATTCCATTCATATCACTCGATGATGAGTCAACATTTATACTGCCTGAAACTGCAGCCGCACAATTGATTTCACCTGCTGTACAGACAGTAGTTGTGATTGAAATAGCTGTAGCAGCCCCATTGGATGGTGAAAAACTTGTCTTATGTGAAACCCATACACCTTCAGAAGAAGTGCACTCTTTATCCAGCTGAGATCTATCGTTCTCTTCTGCCGTAGATGAACAGGAATGATTAGGTCCATGTTCGCCACAGTCCTTCTCAACCAGCTCGAACGAAGAAGAATGAATAATACCGGCAGTCTTTGAAGCAAAACGACCATAATTTTTCTGAAGGGAATTCAACAGTTTTCCAGGATTAGAATCTTCGTGTTTTACTTCAAATGAACTTAAACTGCAGGCTACCAGATTTTGTGATGTTAAACTTGAAGATAGACGCGCAGCAGCAGCACCAGAAGCCTGCATGGGCGGTGGTTTTGTGGGGAACCTGCTACTGTCATCTCCACCATGGGCTTTCTCTGTTGAAGAATGCAATCCATTGCTAGATTTTAATTCGGTTGTACTTGAGGCTTGTGGGCAATCAATGGCAGCTTCAGCCTCATTGGCAGACATGGCCTCCAAAGCACGATTGAGGCGCTTTGACGGAGGCAGTGCAGCCTCAACATCCAACGTAAGATGATATTTAATCAGCTTGCACGACGGCGCAAGATCACTTCTAATATCATTATGCGCAGAGACATTTGTTGAAAACCTTGCATATTCTTTGGCAGCAGGTGAGGTTTTTTTAGGAGAATCATTTTGTAAAAAACAATTTTTTACAGGACTGGAGAATGTTGTGCTCCCATAATGTCCATTTGAAGTAACAAGTCTGCCCAATTTCACTTCAGATACCATAGATTCATTTAAATTTTCCTCAACAGAAGGTTTGCCCATTCTGACCCTCGCCCTTTTCACCAGAGGAAGGTGCTCGTCTCCATTGGCATTATTAAATTTGTCAGCCGTACCATTTTGAGAATTCAAGGAGTCAGAAAGGCTTCCACGCTCAAACTGCATATCAATTTCTTTATCCATTTCATCACATACTCTAGCACTGGTAACCTGTTTTCTGTCGGATTCTCTCCCATTCGTAATATCCAGAGTGTTCAAAGGAGTCTCAAATTCACTACTTAGCTTAGCATCTACTTCTAAAAATGTTTTTGAGACCGCATCATTATCAGAGCATTCAAATTTTTCCCTAAGTTCTCGTACATTTCCATCATCTAAATTTGTCCAATCAGTTTGACCTGCCAAAATATCTTCAAGGGTCACTCCGGTGCAGCTGGGTGAAGCCTCGGCACTGCATTTGGGAAGATTTTCCGCTCCTCTAACCGCCACTAATTCTTCTAGAAGTGGTTCTTCCGGCGCTGCAATGTAAGCCAAGCCGACGACATCAAGTTTAGCATCAGCATTCATAGTCGACGACTTCTGGGTTTCACATGGGTTGTTCCCTAACGAACATCTAGATCTCCTACGCGACGAAGCACTTTTGGTGATGGAGTTTGGCAAGAGTGCATCCCTCACTCTCTTTCTAGTTGTAGGCATACTAGACAACGGAATTTGTCGGAGCTGATCGAGAATAGATATTTTGTTAGCAGAATCATCAACTCCTGCACTTTTATCGTGATTTCCATGTTCGAGTAAGGCTTCAGCACTATCATCCACATTTACCGTATCACCACATTCTATTACAGATGCATCTTCTGACTGAAGGTTATGAAAAGGACTCGAATAAGGCTCTGCAGTTTTTCCAATACAATCTATTCTTGAATCTTCCAAATGCTCTTGGATCAATGCATTGCATTCATTGTCTCCTCCATTAGAAATAGCCGTAGAAAGATTTTGCTTCTTTAAAGATTCATAAACATCAATTATCTCCTCGACAGCACGAACAAAATCAGCGCCTTTGCCCTGACGTTTAACTAACAAGGATTTTTTCTTCTCTTCAGTGAAAGCCTCAATGTCAGCATGGTTGCAGAAGGCGCTGCAAAAACATCAAAATCCTATATAAGTATACCTAATCTTTGTATAAATACAACTGAACTCTTAATCAATGGTTGGGGATAATACCATAGAAGAGGAATAATTAATCAGTCTCCAATTCAGATGTTAGCAAAGAAATTATTAACAGAACATAAGAGAGAAAAATTTAAGCATACAGTAATTATGATTACAAATAAGAAGTTTTTAACATAAAACTTCCTACAAATAATAAGAATGATTAGCATAAAACTTCCTACAAGGCGATCAGAAAGATAGGCATCATTGAGAGGATGTGTTCATGTGGGCAAGAGGTCAGCCATGTTATTGATATACTCGAGCTCGGAAACTATAGCTCTTTTTCAAATAAGTTATGGGTATATCTAAACATACATATATATATATATACACATACATATATATATACATACATACATACATATATCTATATATACATACATACATACATATATCTATATACATACATACATACATATATCTATATACATACATACATACATATATCTATATACATACATACATACATATATCTATATACATACATACATACATATATCTATATACATACATACATACATATATCTATATACATACATACATACATATATCTATATACATACATACATACATATATCTATATACATACATACATACATATATTATATATATACATACATATATATATATGTATATATATACATACATATATATATATGTATATATATACATACATATATATATATATGTATATATATATATATTGATGCGCATCATTATGTTGGACTTGAAAATCAACAAGTTGGCCCTTCAAATCTTTAAAACACTGAAAGTTCTTTTTCTGGCTCTTCTGAACATAACCATTAGCAGTACATTGATCTAGAGAACAAGAAATTAAACCTTAATTGTTAACAAAAACTCATTTCTTTCAAAGAAAATTGTAAATATGAAAGAAACAAATCTAGCCAAAAATCTAATAACCTATTTGATGTTCCTGTTAGAAGTTATGAGGACTTGATTTATTTTCTAATATAACTTTATTTCCTTTCCTATTTAAGATTTATTTTCTTGGATTTGATTTATTTCCTTTCCTATTTTAGGCTTTCCTATTTTATGATGTTTCCTTTATCTCCAAATAATTAATATGTAGAGATTAATTGGAGATATAAGTTATTATATCTTTCATTTCCAGTTATTTATTTTTACTTTTATTCTTATTCTAAGATTCATGTAAGAATTATTTATACTCATTTTATATCAATGAAAATAATTCACATTATTTTGAATTTCAACATGGTATCAGAGCCAAATTCCCTTCCCTAGTCGTTGGTCCTCCCTCTAGAGCTGACAGACTCTCTTCTTGTCATATGCTTTCTCTTCTTGATCTTGGTTGTTGTCCTTCTGGATCACTTTCCTCTTTACCCTCTTGCTAGGGTTAGGGTGTAGTGTCGGCGATTTCCATCAACCGCGTCCATGGCGATGGCGTCAGCATCTTCGACTATGTTGAGCATATTAGCAGTGAAGGCGGGCTTCATAAAGCCGGAGTGGAAAATGGAGATGATCTCCAGTTGCGCTGCTCTCTAGACAAAGCTCTCCGACCACTACTCTTTTTTCGAAGGAAGCCTTGAGCTCAAGTCTGAGTCACTTTGCTCTAAGCACCGCTCCCTTCACTACCACACCCAACGCAAACTTGGCACCCTCCGCTGCCGATAGCAATCCATTGACAGCTTTGTTGATCTTGCCATCGCTCGTGTTGAAGAAATTTGTGCTGCTTCTTTATCCGACCTTTCCTCTGTTGACATCCCAACTCGTCCCCACGCCTTTTACTCCAAGATGAACTCCCACGCTTTTTTTGACCTCATCATCTCCAGTAGTTAGGAGTCAGAACTCCTATGTAAGAAGTTACCCCTTCGTTTAAGGAGGCCATAGAACCTGTAAAGTTTGTTATTGACGTGAATTCTAGGGTTGTTCCTGTCGATCGGCGGGATTCGAAGTTTCTGTCAGAAGATTTTGGTTGGGTCTGTTTGTTTTTGTTGGAGGGCTTGGTGTTTGTGTTAACAAATCCGGATTTGCGGATTGAGAGGTCATTAGTGTCTAGGATTGTGAAAGGGAGAGCCAAAGAGATGGCAGATGCATAGAAGGATGAGATGGAACAACATGGTGGGTGGAGAATGCAAAGGCTCAGAATGTTCATGCATTCCTGTGTTTGGGATTGGAGTGGAGGAGAGGGAGTTGCAAAAGAAATTGATGGTAAGCGTTTCGTGGAGAAAGCAAATGCCCAAGCTCTGTGTGTGGAGGATAAGATGAGTGACATAATAGAAGAGTTAATTCTAAAGGGACAATAGCTAGATGCAATAAATTTTTCTTAAAAATCTGGACTTAAACACAAGCCCCCTACTCCCTTGCTGAAATCCTACCTCAAAGATGCCAAGAAGGATGAGGGAAGCAACTCTGGCGAAGCTACAAAAAATACAAATAGAAAGGAAACATCGGCAATTTGAGTTGTCATGAAATGTATCGAGGACAGAAACTAGAAGTCTATTTTCCCCCGGATAACCTCCAAAAGAGACTCGAAAATTTCAAAAAGGCAAAGGCCAAAAAGCAAAAAAATACCATGTGGTCCTGCAAATAAAACACACGAGTCAACAATGGTGGCCCAATGCCCCCAGCGAAAGCGGGCCATCTCACAAACAATGCCTATGTTTCATTCTTTCCTGCAGCAGACCCTCCTCCAGAGTTTTTTCTGCGGCAGACCCTCCTCCAGAGTCTTTTCCTGCAGCAAGGTCTAACCCCGGAGCTTTTCCTTCTTTTTTTTTTACAGGCCATACTCTGCAGCATTTTCCTTTTGGTTTTCTTCTTCGCTGCAAACTTTGTTGTCACATTATCTGTAGAAGTCTTTTACCTACCTACAGACACTGCAAGAACTGCAGTCAAAGACAATCGCAGTCAACTAGGAACCAGTTTTTACTGCAGATTGTTCACTTTCCTGCAAACTCTCCTACAGCATTATCTGTATGAGTCTTCCGCCTAATTATAGACACTGCATGAACTGCAATCAATGACAACCGCATTACGGGATGAAGACTTCAAGTTCACCTTCACAAGATATTCCTTACAAATTGTTTGATATTTTCAAACCGCATTACGGGATGAAGACTTCAAGTTCACCTGCACAAGATATTCCTTACAAATTGTTTGATATTTTCAAATCAAAGTTGAATATAGTTTTTAACCATATTTCAACTTGAGGGAGAGTGTTAAAAGTTATATTAGTAAATAATTTATCCTGCAAGAAATTATAAGAATTAGATTTATTTTCTAACACAACTTTATTTTCATTTCCTATTTTAGATTTATTTTCTTAGATAGGGTTTATTTTCTTTCCTATTTTAGGCTTTCCTATTTTATGATGTTTCCCTTATCTCCAAAAAAATTAAAATGGATTAATTAATTGGAGATATTATATGCTATATCTTTCTTTTCCTGTTATTTATTTTTTCTTGTCTTTCTTATTCTAAGATTCATGTAAGGATTATTTTACCTCATTTCATATCAATAAAAATATTCTACATTATTTTGAATTTCAACATAACCTGCTAGAAATAAAGAATAGAAAATCACAACCAAGAAGCCACATATAGAATTGAAATCCATGCACTCATTAAAAATGAAAATGTATCAAACTTGAGTAACCAACCACAATCAAGCCAATAAAAAACTTGTAAGAAATAAATACAGAAAGAAAAAAAATCAACAAAAATAGAACCAAGTATCACACTTGCATAACGAGATAATCTCTCCCAAAATCTTAGGTTAGCTTCCAATTAAAAATTGAACACCCGGAAGTAAAAGTAATAGCACATTTAACAAATATTTTATGCAAAACAATATTTCAGTTTTATGCATGTCCCATATTCTTATCTATAGTAACATAAAAATAAAAAATCCTTTTAGAAATGCATGCTCACCAAGTAAAATAATTTATCAGAATCAGATAAGACACTAACCAAAAATCTTGATAACATAAATATTGATGGAATCAACTACAAATTTCCCAAATAAGGGAACCAAAGAATTTAGATCATCAACATAAGCCAACTGTTATAACAAAATAACATCATCGACATGAGATACAAGATTTCACTAAAAGTAAAATTCCTAATACATGAAATAGCTAAAAAAATGAAACTAATCAAGGAATTTATCTTACATATGAAATTTGTGTTTTTATAACTCCGGGCTTTTAAATTTTGTAATAAATTTTACCAATAACGAAAATTTTCAGCTCCAACAAATTACTTGATTATATTTCTCAAACAAAATTGGTATCAATTACCGTGCTCCTCATAGGGAATTTCATGAGATCCATGAGTCATTACATGCAATTCTATTCAACCAATGCACAAAATGCCTTTAAATTCACCATAAAAAGGGTTACAATTTCATCATTTATTATAGCTGCAATATTAAATTAGAGTTTTTGCATGAAAAATTATAGAGATGGCTTGTTTGATGTGAATCCAAGAGAAAGATGAAAAAGAAAAACAATTAAAGGCAATTTTGATCGTTCAAGATATAATATTAACTCACATACATAAGAAATTGGAACATGCCTAACTTCTCTAGCATTTAAAACTTTTAAGCACTTTGTGCCAATTCATTGTAAGACTCTATATCATCTTATTTTCTAATAGCTAATTTCTTAAGAGTTTCAATAAGAAACCAATTCATGCTTTAGATGAACAATTAATTCACAAAGTTTGAATTCCAAATATATTATATTTGAATCTGCTGTAGATTTATAATTATCATAGATATCATGTGAAAATTCTCAATTAAATCAAGCATACGGTGTGTCATTAATTATGCAAATTCACTAGTTCTAGATTTAAAAAGATGCTTAATTAGTGGGCAAGGTGTCATGTTTGTGCCCTCCCACACATTGTATCTGTATCTTTCTTTCTACTTAATATATTAGCCTTTTTG